CAATTGCCTTCGAGCGAAGCGAGTCACACGGCACTGTAACCGCACACTGCACCGCGTCCGGAACCCCGTGAAGTGTGTCTGCGAGCGAAGCGAGTTACGATGCCACTTTGTCTTACTCCAAAACCATTACACAAACAACAACACACCAAACCAGGCTTTGAATTTTTTTGCAATCCATTGATAGCAATCTCGCACACAGAAGCTGGGGCTCTTGCTGGGTGCACGTTCACACGGTGTTCACAGCTTGAGAAGGTGGGTAGCATGCTACGACTCAAGCACTTCATGAATGCGGCCTTCGACTAGCTGTTCCGTCGTGCAGGAATGCACAATAGACGTGATGAGCGCACGTCTCAAAGGGGGTTCGTATGTTCACGCCTAGACGTCACAAAACGGGGGGAATCTGGAACGGTTGCGTTACTATACGGCTGATGCTGTACAGGGCCAGGACCAGGGCTGCTGCAGTCACCAGCAGGGAGTGCCCAGCAGGCTGTTGATCTACTTCCAGTGCTTCAGTCGGACGGCCAGACATGCCGTGCGGACACCTCGTACATACAAAATTTGTTTGTGTTGTGTGGTCCTCCCGTTGACAGGTATAATTTTTAGTACGTCAGATGCCACTACCCAGAGCATGGATGATGGAACAGAGTCTGCGACCCCTTCGGTATACGAGGGTGGTGGTTGGCTGTCTCTCCAATCTGGATGCACATGGGCAGTCTCGCAAACTCGGGCCCTCCGCGCTGTGGAAACAAACAGATTGTTTTTGAGCGCAGAATGCGGCGTGAATTGTGAATTACGTTGTTTCTCTGTCACACACGTTGCTACCGTCCACCACACCAACGTTGTAACCCGCCGATTACGATTGATACACACGCCTTGACTCTCTCCCTCTTCACCACACCCCTGCTGTGCCGAAGCATCGCGTGTTGTGTTTCGAGGTGTTGACGACGACCGAAAGCAAACACACCTGTTGCAAACTTGATTGTCCCATCCAGTACGCAGTAGCCCGCAAAGAGGCCCAATGCAATACCAAGGCCGGGGAAAGGTCGCTTGTAGCAGCCCGTCAGCATCGGGTGCTTTCGCCACGCGTCCTGTCCAGCAAAGACCATATTTTCCTCTCTCGCTCCGCTTCACAGTTCAGTGTGTCCTGTGCCGCAACGCACTGCAGCACAGACAACTAACTCCCCGGAAGATAGCGTGGTACATGGCATTGTGAAGTATATTCTGCGTGGTCCCCGAACGTCGTTACCATCGTTGTCAATGACAAACCGTAAGTGCGCTGCTGCTACAGCCTGCTTGCTCTGCTGGTACTCGCAACGTGCTGGTCGATATACCATGTCTTCGGGCGATAGCAATGGATTGCAGCAGGTGTCGAAAATCGTCAACTCGTTCTTCAACAAGCCAGAGACACTTGCCTTTCGAGAGCCGGTCAACCCAAAAGCGATGGGCATTCCGGACTACCCCCAGATCGTCAAGAATCCCATGGACCTTGGCACGGTGAGATCATGTAAAACTGTCATCAAGAGCTATGTTAGCTAGAGATAGAGGACCCATTTACTAAGAACGAATTGCTTCCTGCCGCAAGTTTGATAGATACGAAATAGACTATACGACTAAGTTTTGGTATGCTTGACATTGATAACGTTTTCAAAATCTGATCCAAAGTCTCCAATACCAGTTATTTGATGGTTGCCTCCAGTCCTGAGCGTACAAGTAAATAGTACAGTACTGCTGTAGGAGCGTCGTTTGTCAAGACTCCTGTTCAGCAAGGAACCAGATCTTTCAGGACTCCGGGCCGGTCTTGCTTTCCTTGATTCTTGAATTCTGTGTAGGTCCTCCTCATCATGTGTGATATCTCGGCACTGATGCCTTTCCAGTCTGAGTACCTACATATTTTAGACATTCCATCCGAAAAATGTCGTACAAGTACATGATCGGTCTGGAAGTGATATGTACCACGTTTCTTCTGATGTAGTGCAAGGTGAAGTCTAGTCAGCTCATCCAACTAATGATGGGTATATGTAGGTATTCAGACTGGAAAGGCATTCAGTGCCGAGATATCAGACATGATGAGGAGGATCAACTTCGAGGGCTCACCGAGCCCGCCCCCTTCCATCAGTAGTCTACGCAGCAAAATCGATTAAGCAAACATATGGGACAAAGTATTCAATCCGTGCTTTGGGGTTAGGGTTAGGGTTAGGGATAGGGTCTGCGTGCCCCCTCCCTATTCTTTTTCTAGAGACACTCTTAAAATCCTGCGTAGGCGGTCCCCTTCCATCGGGTCAGGGGACAACTCAAGTAGCTGATTCGTCCTCGTGGGCATACTTTACCAATCCTTTGATTTGCAGCCGTTTCAGCTCCCCCCTTGCCTTGCCGTCGAGTCCTGCAGCAGTCTCGACGCTTCGGGTGCTGTGCGCTGGTCCTTGGGACCTAAGCGTCCTGTTCAACGAGATGACCGGCTGTCGTCGAACACTTGCAGGAGTGGAACCCTGATCCTTCTCTTCTTCATTGATTTCCTTGAGCGTGGCCACTGAGACGTCTGGTGTGTCTTCTGACTCAAACTTTCTTGTAGAGGTCTCGATGTAGATCCTGGCTCCCTGAGATCTTGTACTCGACCAAAACTCCGGCGCGTTAACCGAGGCTCATAACCTCTCGGGAATGGAGGAGTGTGGTGTGAGACCTGAAGCTGACGAAAACCGGTACCTAGATGACCTTTGGTACGGGCTTGTCAAGTGCGTGGAAAAGAGAAAGATTCAAGTCTCTGTCAGCAGCTCGTGCGTACGACAAGAGATAGCCCAAGGCGAGTGATGTCCGATGTACGTAAGCAAAGCACCTGACGCGATCGTACAGTCGGTGACAAGCGTAACTCAGAGTACAGCGTATCCGCACGTGGTGCGTTGCGACGCGGCTTACGCTGCTCGTGGCAGTCAAGCTCCATGAGAGAGTAGTGCCGGCGGGCTCTTCCACGACGTAGTTCCCAGGTGGGAAAATGATAATAAAACTAGTAAGGATAACCGAATAGACTTATCCTATCAAATGCACGCCTGCACCACTGCGTGCTTGATACGAAGGTGAGCGACATTGTACGTAGCGCTGTTTACCTATAGTTGTCGCATGTACGATGCCATGTAAATATCCAGCATCGTTTTTGCCAGAAACTCTGTTGTAAAGCCTCCTCTGTGCGGTTGGCCAACAGCAAAATATAGGTTTTGGCGTGCGATTCTTAGCTGGGCGCCTCTTGTTATGGTCAAGTGTACCCTTTCAAGTGTATCAAGACGAAGACAAACAGCATAGAGTATCTCCATTTGGCGCTGAATCCTGGGGCGAAGAGACCAGGCACAGGGCATGCCACTGCGTGAAATTTCACCGAAAGACCGGATCTTCACATTTCGAGAGGTTGGGACAGAGCAGAGAGCGCACCCACCACAAGCACGCATAAAGCTGCCGCCTGCTTGCCGCCTGCACCAGCCGGCGCGCTCCGAGCGGGGTGTACAGTTTGCATGGCCGTACTTGCCTTCGAGACAAAACTCCGACACAGGTGGCAGCCTGCAAGTATTTGCCTTGATTCTTCACCCAAGAGGTGAGAAATCGATTGCATTGAATGCCCATCTCGCTTCTCTCGTTGTATATATATGTTTTTTAATACCGGATCATCGACTTGATTTGAACCAGCTCCTATAGCCCACAGGTCACGCCGTAACCGGACACCGATCTGGTGCCCGTGATTCACACCGGCCAGGAGGCTGTAGGACGCCCAAAAATTGCGGGCGCGAGAGTCTGCAACAGCCTGAAAACCCTGCCGCGGCTGCTGGGATCATTTTGTACTTTTGCTTGCCCCGGGCGCAGGTTTGGGTTTTTACCGATGATCCCTCCCCACACACCAAAGGAACAGCAATGGCAATGATGACACCCGGAAGGAGCTGTATGTTTGGCTCGATTTTTCCCTCGCCAGGGCTGCCTTGCCCCTCACAACGGTGTTGTCTGTTTAGCTGAGTGCTTCCTCTGTTTCTCTTAGTTTGAACCGAGCACTTGCTGCGTGTTTGTGTGCGAAAAATTCAAGAAAAGAAAAAGAGCATTACCTCTACAACTCCCCGGGGAAAAGGGTCAAAAATATCCTTTGATTTTGGAGACAAATCCCTGTCAAGCACGGCCATCTGTTGTCGGAGCGCGACCAAATCGGTGCGACGAAGAGTGCCCCAATCAACTTCCTCCTCACAGACCAGCAGATCGTAAATCAGTGCTCTATAGACTTCGTTCTGGTCGAACAAAAGGCGATAATTTTTTTACGTGCCGTAGTTCGGCGGAAGTTGCAGAAAGACCCCTCCATCGCCTTGGTAGGAAGAGCACGATATACAAAGTCTTTTTTTCCTTCCTGGGGATGAAGGCAAAAAATGTCGTGCTTCGCGCTCCGAGGTTCATTAAAGTTTCTGGATACATATCGGCACTATACAGGGACCGCTACTGTACAGAAAATTCATGATCGATGGTTGAGTCGAACAGCATGACACGGAGGTGATGTGACGGATACGAAACCTTAACTTGAACCTTACTAAGATTTGTCTTGTCATGCTGCAGATGGCGATTGCCGATCTGCGGTTTGGTTGGTGCTATGGCAACTTTCTGCGTAAAAAGAGCACGACAGAGCTGACATCCCGCCACACGTTCCGGTTGCATTCCGCCCTCGTCAACGGTATATCGGCGTACTCGCGAACATGGTACGGGTTAGGTGAGGAAGAAGCTGGAAGAGGGCCGGTACGAGCGCGCGGACGACGTGGCACGAGACGTTCGCTTGATCTGGTCCAACTGTATCCTCTACAACTCGCCGGGATCTGAGTTTGGCCTCCTCGCGGCGGGCCTCTCGAAAAAGTTCGAGGAGAGATTTTCCAAGGTCAAGGTATGGTTCGCTGTGAGGTTCCTCCAAGGCTGACGGTAATATTGCGCTGGTAAGCTCCTGTCCTTGTAGGAAATGTGGCCACAACTACAGATACTCTTTACTGATCGATGTATCGCATGGATGGTAGGCAGGGGAATAGTCAACATGAATCCTCGGGTCTCTCCGCCGAATGACGAGAACACAAACAAGTAATAAGTATCAAGTAATAATTTTTGCGGTGTGGTGCGTTGGTTTTCAGCGGCGTTCGTTCGTCCATCTGGCGCTAAAGATTTCCTCCCCCTTCCATTCAGAGACGCTACAGTAGGGCGTATGTTGTACGCACAGCAGCGGGTCAAGCACGTCTACCGCACGTGTAGAAACGACCGGTCACACACCCCCCAACGTCAGTCATGGACGATTCCTCCGTGCTTTCACGCGTACCGTGTTGTTCTCTGTATTTTGGCGGAGGTTATCGCCGGATACTGCTGTACCAACATTGTTGATATGTTGAACGTGTTGGAATATTCAATGTCAGTGTTTGTATTGCTGAAGTAGATGATGCACCTAAGGAGCATTGCTGGAATAGTGTCAGTATGGTACATTGGAGGGGGTCCAACCCCCCCCTCCTATGTGACTCCGGTTGGGTCGTCTAGCTGGTAGAGGTGGAGGATAGGGGCCAGCGGGGCAGACGACAGAGTCCAAAGATGGGAGAAAAAAAGTAACATAAATTGGACCGCTGTCCTATGGGATATCCTCGTTCCGTTGTGTTCTATTTTCGTGATGAAGATGGATGGCTCGCCCTCTTGGCGCTCGCCCCGTCTCTCTCACTCCCGTTCTCTTCCTTTCCTTACGGCCAACTAAGCACCAAATCAACCATCTTTTCTGGTCTAGACACAAGTGAGCCTCTGCGCGCTGTTATTACACAGCAGTGGCCATTGCCAGGAATTCACCCAATCTAGGGTTTACGTTCCGACAGAGTGCACTCCCAACAAACTCCCAGTTGCATAGCTTGCTCGAGCAAAGTAGCTTGCTTGGTCCTAATAATACATGTACTAACTTTTTTTCGACCGACCCCCGCTTGAACTTCCGCACACACCGCCGAAACAAATCAGACCGCGGAGAAGGAGCGAGACAGAAAACCCAGCGCCAAGTCGGAGCCGGTCAACACGAAAGCACCGACCTTGGATGAGAAGGTCCGCTTCACGTACGACCTTTACCGGACAACCAAGGTCGACGTGAGTATGACACGACGGGAAAGGACGGAGACCCAGGGACGGGAGATCCATTTTTGTGTTGTGTTTTTCATGACTTTGAATCGGCGTTCACATCATTTATTTCTGCCCGGTAGGAGCTCCACCCGTGGTCACGCAAAGGAAGGATTCCTCTCCCTGAGGCCTCCTCCTGCGGTGCTTGACTTCGATTTTCAACGCGAGAAAGATTGCAACAACACTCTCTTCCTTCAACTTCAAAGTGTGCACACGAGCTTTGTAGCGCTTTCCAGGTTGCGTGCGTAAGTACTGGCGGTGTTTGGCGGTGTTCGCCGCGTGCAGAGTACGGAAGTCACGTGCCAGGGGAAGCACTTCTCCGAAGATTTGGTGGATGGTTTGCACGTCATGGGCAAGGACTCGGGACGTATATGTTCAAAACACGTCGGCAGCCATTAGGAAAAGGCCGACCAGTTGAGTTTTTCACCATTCAGCCTCTACCTACAAGTGCTACTAGCTGGTCTTGTTGATACTATATTTTGCCCATGTAGTTCCGACGGCGCGGCGCCGATTATATCTCCAGCTATGTAAACATTCGATGCACAACGAGTATAAGCACAACCTGATTGAATACACGCATGACATCACATCGCAGGTAGGGCAGGTGATGGAGCAGGTCGACGCACGGTGTCCACAAGCGCTCAAGTCGCCGGCAGATGATGAGGTGAGAAGAGTCGTGCAGTAAACGTTAGCGTTTCGTATAATGCCGCCGTGATCTCGAACCCTTTGTTGGACGCCTTGTTTTGGACGCTATCTATCCCCCGATGGTTGGACGTTGCGTGGTTCGACTTTTCACACCACCCGCCTACGTACCTAATCAACGAGCCCGGGCTATTGTTTTGCCCCAAAGCATTGGTTGGCCAAAAGATCGGCACGAGCTAGGAAGAACCTGCCTCTTCCATCAACGACTTGGAAGTACCCAAGTTTGTGGATGGTTTATTGCACAGCAGACAGCAGTATTTGTTGTTGATGTCTTGACGTTAGGTATCGTTCCGGTCTAGTGCCTGCCTTTGTAGCCAAGACGACAATGCTGGCCACCACGGCGGAAATACCATGAAGAACGCCCCACCATCCAGTGCACCATAGCTTGGTGTCTACTGTTGGCGCGGTGCCGTGCTCGCGTCTTGCTTCGCTCGAACCCTCTCGCCTAAGACCGATCACCTCAACCGCTTCTCTATCCCCCCCTGGCTCCTTCTCTCTCCACTCTGTCGCTCAACACTCGTGGAACAACAACAACAACAACAACGTGAAGGTGGAGCTGAACGTGGACATGTTGGACCCCCTGACGTTTCGGGTGGTGGAACGGTTACTACGACGATCCCTGCAAGGAAACGCTTCTGCTATTTCCAACAACTCCGCGGGAACAACAGCAGCGTCTGCCTCCACCAGCAAGTCCAAGTCGAGCGGTGGTGGCGGTAGCGGCGGCAGCAGCGGCGGCAACAGCGGCCCAAAAAAGCGGAAAAACTCAGATGGGGAAACGCGACCAAAAAAGCAACGCGCTTAACTACTGCGGGACAAGTCGCGCCATGTATTTTTGTCGTCAATAGGAGCTTTCTCCGGGGGCGTGCCGCGTGGGGGATAACGAGATGCTCCACATCCCGCCTCCTTGGTGGAGCGCGGTGTCGATTTCGGTGATGAAAGGAAGATCTACCCGTTGGCTGTTGCTCGAGGGTGTGTATGAGATGTTCTGGTGTGCCGTCGGGTGGAGATGTGTGCGTTGGATTGTAGAGGACTAGAAATCAATCGTTCAACAGTAATGCCAAGTGCACCCACCAGTGTCCGCACTATTACAAGCCCGATGTGAACACCCTTCGAGATAGCATGCGGGTGCAATGCGCGCCTATTGGGAGAAAACCCGACTGTCTCCGTTTATGTAGACATTTTGAAGCGGTGCAGTGTCTATGGTCCAACGAGTACGATACAGATGATAATGGGTGTCTTCCACCTCCCTCCCGCTCTCCACGCCATACCAAACCTCACTCAAACGTTGTTCCCGCTGTTTGTTCTACCGCTCCAAAGTTGCTGCGGTCTTTGTCGGCACAAGAAAACTCTGTAATCGTTTCCCCCCTCAGCTGGCCTGCTGGGAGCCAACAACATACGTTGTGTTCCACACTTTCGCCCATCATCGCTCACTTTGTTTTTCATAGGGGGTCACAGGTTTCTACTACCCATGTACCAGTCCCAGCTTCTTGGCCCTGCCCCGACAAGATAAGACAAGACAAACACCTCCCTTCCGAGGACAAACCATTCCAAAATCGATCTCGCAACGGCGGGCGGCGTGTCCCAACTCGACGCATGCCATAACGGCTTTTACCACTGCTTTACGAACCTCGTCGTCGTCGCAAGCACCACCACTTTTAAGCGCTTCTTCTTGAGGAAGTCGAGTTTTATGGTCAAAAGGGCTACGGCGTGCATGATGATGAATACAGTTCCGTCGAAGAGCTCGAAGACACGCGCCATTTACCGTTCAGGGGTAGACTATACAACCTCGTGGCACATTATATCGTCTAGTAAAATCTATGATCTCTCAAGCTTGGTACACAAATTGCTCTTCTTCAAAGAGGTATGACGGAGTGATTGCGCGGCAGCACGAGTTCATCACACCATGTGCCACTGCTGAGACTCTTGTCCAAATTTGTATTTCGTATCTCAACGTCGTCGTTTCACCTCCAAATTCGAGTCTTTGAGAGACACAAGACGGGCGATGGGAACTGGACGTGTTTCGGTCGCCTTAAGAAAACTGCGTCAAATTCGATCCGCCGGTCGCTTACCACCTCACGCCATACTATTACCAAAAGCGACACATTTTTCCGTCCTAAGAGAGCCTGTCAACACAAACGCCGACCGAGCTGTGAGAAGAGGACGCCCGGATTCGCTTCCGTGGGCACACAACAAAGCCGCTCAACCACACCATTGCCCCCCTGTCTACACGTCCGTCCCACGCCATCTCTTTCAAAGCGAGCGTCCCGTTGTCGAGACCAGTCCCGTAAAAAAATTGCTTCAGCATTGGCCATCTGCATGTTTTTTTTTTTCTCCCATCATTGGACTCTGTCGTCTGCCCCTCTGGCCACCATCCTCCACTTCTACCATGTAGACGACCCAACCGGAGTCACATATGAGGGGGGGGTTGGACCCCCTCCTGCGGTTTCTGCCTGAGATACTTTCATCGCGAGAGGGGTACAGCAATCCCTACCCTCGCGACTTAGACCTATGAAGTCATCAAGTTAACTAACAACGAGCTTTGCAGCGCGTCGCTTCCAACGGAGACCAGGATTTAGTAAGCGAGAAAAAACTCATGTGTTCCCCGGCCAACTACATGTTTTTGTTCATATCCGATCTAAGATACCCAAAAACAGTGTTGTCGGTGCCACCGAAGCCAGACCTGATGAGCCGCGTTGCGAATTACCCGTCGAAATCTCCGGAGTAAACAGCACCCGATCCTTCGCTGGATTCGGGATCAGGATCGGCGTCGTCAAATCGATAACGAGGCCACACGTATCATCGGCAAGCCAACAGCTGACGACAAAAAACGCGCAATATGTGGCAGGAAGGTGCTACTGGCTGGACCTACAACCACACGAATCGGCAACCAACAGCTGACAAAAGAGCACATAAACACTTGGAGATGGGTGCTGCTGGACGTACAACCAGACAGAGATGCCAAGCCGGAGCAGTCATGAGAGAACGTAACCGCAGTGTGCAATCCAATGGGCCACTTTGCCAATGAGAGGATTCAACGGCTCAGAAACACATACATCTATGCGTGAAGATTTCAGCCTGCTGTGCTAAACGAAATCAAACTTCCTACAAGCGCGAGTTTGTGAGTGAGCAATCGCTGCCACTGTCAAGGAGTTGCACCGTATACGGCACAAGGGAACACACCCGCTCGCACAGTACCACCCCCGGTGGTCGAAGTTTTACGGGTCAACGTGAGCCCAAAACACAAAACTACTCTCAGACCCAAGCATGGTAACTGTTTCGAAACATGATACCACTCACACAACCACCTGGTGATCATTTTCTTAGACGTCAAGTTGTCATCGCCGGGGTGTGTGTGGGGGGGCCGGGGCGTACTCTTATGCTTTGCATGCTTTAGCGGTCAGACCATTGACCAGAGGGGGGGGGGTTCTTGCCACTCTACCACCCATCACATGAAAATGTGGGCCCGCCCGCTAGAGTTCACTCCGGCCAAGACGTCCCTGGATGGGTGGAAAGCAACGACGCTCTGGATGGAGCCCATGACGTCTCCCCCCGTAACCTCCACGGCGGAAGGCTTTTTGGCGCCTCCGTTGACGCTGTACAGATGGATCTGTGATTGGGACGAGAACCGACGGAATGGGCCAAAAGGGGCTGTTGTTGTGGTTGTTGTTGTCTTCACAATAAACGTACCGGTATCTGAATATCCACCGTCCGCGGGTCTAAAGTGACACGGGCGACTTCCGCGGTCACAAGAATTGGAGGGTTACATACTCATGAACGCAAAAAAAACAAACCAAGATGATAATCAGACGCTGTAACTCCGCCCCATCATCCCTTCTCAATCAACCCCTGCGTGCGGAACTTCACGCCAACGATGACATACCCACGTATGCGACCTCACCACCAAACAGCAGCGGAAAAATTTAAAGTGAACCTACAAGGCAAGCACCGCAGGGGGGAACGGGGGCAACAAAACAAATGAAAAAATGAAAAAAGCTCCCGTGCGACCTTCCGCTTGTGTGACCCCGGCTGACAAGCCAGTCAGGTATGCACGCCGAAAGGCCTGTAAATCGGCGCCAGAATAGATGGGGACGAACACACACCACCCACCAAACAAGGTAAATCAAAACAACAACGTCAGAAAACGCCCAAGACTGCTGACCGCCCCGCCCCGCCTTACTCCGTGAGGGTACTTCTGCATGCTGCCGATGGCGAACAGCCCCTTCGATTTGGGGTCCCACGATGCCTGAAATTTGGTGAGCCAGCGGCCGGTCTGGTTGTTGTGCGGTAGAACTTGGGAGGCAGATACCTGCCGCGGAGAAAATAAAAACAGAATACATTAAACAAGGAATCGTTTGAAGCTCGCCTCGGCAAGGAATCATTCCGACCGAAGCGCCGTGCGGTGCGAAGCAAACTTTTTCCAAGCAAGCGCCTATCGGAGAAACTCCCAGAGCAAAACAAGCTTTCATTTGCAATGCGGGCGGCAGAAAAACCCCCGAAAGAGGACGCCATGGGTCAATCCAGCGGTTCGACAAGTCATAGAGATAGCGCGGGGACGGACCTGGCCTTGCAAAGAATGACACAGCCGGTGGTGCCTGCTTCAGAGAAGGTTTGAGCATACTGTTTCACCGAATAATTACCGGTGCTTTCTTTTACCGTCGACCCCGCTTTAGGGACGCACATGGCTTTTCCCGAAAAAGAGCGTCCTTAAAGCGGGGTTGCGTCCTTAAAATTCAGGGGACGATAGCTCCCCATCCCCGTGGCCAATGGAGGCATGCTATACCTCAAACTACGCGTCTTTTGCTAAGCAAGGGTATGGTACGAAAGGTCAACATCGCCGAGCCGACTGGCAACCGTTTGTTGACGTCGAACACATTTACAATACATAATAAATGAGATGTACAGCAGTCGGGGACGTGTTGAAAATATCAAACTGCAGTACAGAAGTTTGTACTTTTCGTACCAATGTACTGCATAGCCGACAGTGGAAGAAGGAGGAAAATCCAAGTAGACACATATTTACATCATTCTTGTGAAACAAAAAAACAACGAACGTATTTCAACGTCGCACCGAGGAACACCAGTACATAAAATAACTGTCCCGGCGCAGCCCAAAAGCTACCCTTGGGCGACTTTTCCCTCCACATATCGCAAAGAGTTCCCTGAACCTCCCCCCGCGGCTTGGCTCTCCGGCTCTGTTGAGTTTCACGAGAATACGAATGAACGGGCTTCGAAAGAAGGTCTTGCGTCTCACGGTACTCTCCACCCCTTCCCTTCGCGTACAAATAGGATCGAACGTCCTCCAAGCGAGAGATAACCTCGCCCTCGGTGAGGGACGAGGTTATGCACGACCTTTTTTTTCGGCGGCATCAGATGGACCGCCGGTAGATGGGAGAAATCTATCCATTCCCACACCCAGTTACAGCTGCAGCAGCAGACCGCTCGCTACTTCCGCCGTCTGTGCGTCGCTACTTCTGTACTCACTGTGGTGCGTGGTGCATGCAAAGAGCGGCCCGCAGGACACAAAAAGGGGGTACGCGGCAGAAAAATGGGGGTACCCCCATTAACGTACATTCTGCAGTTTCCTCCACGCGAGCGTCCTTAAAGCGGGGTCGACTGTAAAACAAATGTTCTTCCTCCAATTCATAAGGAATATTCCTGACGTATATTCCTGAGGAGCAAAAACAAACGAAAACCAAAACCTACATGGTTGTCTTGCTGGATTGTATCCCAAAAGGGACGGGCGGCCAACAGCACACCTACCTGCTTTCCGCTTGCGCTGCCGAGGTCTTGGTACAGCCTGATCTTGTCGTCCTGACACACCGTGGCCATCCACTCCCCCGTGGGGCTGAAGTGCGCGCTGTTGACGCTGCGGAAGTGCGGTAGCTCGGCCACGTGCTTCATGCCGCCGATGCCGCTCGACCCCGTGCCGGCGCCAACGTTCCGAGCGTCCCATAACCTCACGCTTCGGTCCAGCGATGCCTATTGTATGCGGGGTAACGGGGTGGGTACATCACACGCAAAAGACCTACTAGATGTGCTTTTTGTTTTCCGACTATCTGGGACGAGCAAGAAAAAAAACGCCTTGTGGCTGACTCACGAAGATTTTGCAACGGGAATGTTGTTGTTGTTTCTCACATTAGCTCTATAGTCCACAAAAAATGGGGAGCCCGCGGTCTCAAAACCCGGCACATACGACGCCGCGAGGAAACAAAACAAAAATAGGGTACAAACCACTCGGAAAAAGAAAACAAAATGATAGAAAGAAAAGAACAGGTATCGCACCGACCGTTCGAGGAAAGAGCCCTCGGAAACCGATCAAAATAAAGCAAAAACAAAAACAAAGGAGGTCGCTTCCCACACCCGCCTTAGAAAAAATCAAAGGGTAACGTACCAGCACCAGGCACTACGCACCAGGGCATGGGAATAACGGAGCAAACAGGACAAAGAGGCGGCAGATGGGCAGACAGCCAGACGTACAAAAACAAAGGCAACAGCAAAGCGAGATCACGGTACCCAACACAGCAGCGTAGGCAGGGAGGTCATGAAAAAAAGAAAAACAGAAACACAGCACAGAGGCCGAAGGCAATACAAAGCACATACATAAAGGAGTATAGCATACAGCAGGGAGGGAAACAGGGCGCAACAGCATCAGCCGGGTACGTAGTTCGCAACAAGTGCTGCCTCGGCCGCCCTACTCGCCTCTACAGCAGTGCCCGGTCGCCGTTTCTTGCCCCCCACCGCCGCTTCCCCGGCTCTCTTTCTCTTCGGTCCTGAGGCCGTACTCTCTG